TTTGGGCTGCGCTGACAGATATAAAGCCGCTCTGAAATGAGACTACATCAGGTCCGACACCTGATCAGGTCTGAAGCTTAGCTGTCATCAGCTGTGTGAGGCCTGTGCTCTACACAGTTAACAGCGAGCTCCTACAATAATAACACGACTATCACAGTGAAATAAACCTTGAAATAAAACAATCACTATAACGTGGGTCAAACAGATATTTGATGAAGACATCGATAAATTTCAAGACATTCCATATTCACAAGAGGTGTAAAATTAACACTGTGCACAGATAATTATTAAAGTTGGATAAAAAGGCGACTGTAAACCAAAGAATTTCAATAGTAACTGGCACAGAAATGAGCAGGCTCCTTATTATAAACGAGATACAGCCCTAATCAAATAAACATCTTCAGTAGATCACTCCAAAAAAAACAAAAAAATAATTAATTTAGACTCAAAAAGAAATCAGGTTAAGATCTTTTTTTTTTAAACCTGGATAAAATCCGCCCATAATAAGCATAAGATGCTTTTGGAAACTCTTGACTGTAGCAGTGTGAACGCTCCTGCAGGTCCAGCAGAGCCCAAGAGAAAAAGCAGGTGTGTAGATGTGTGAAACTATCTGTGCTGGTGTTAAACAGCTCTGCAGTGGCAAGTGTGTGTGTGTGTGTGTGTGTGTGTGTGTGTGTGTGTGTGTGTGTGTGGACTCAAATGATTTGGGATTTCCTCATAGTTCTGCATTTGTGCAGGTGGTGTGAATTTAGTCGTCTTGTTTCTAGGTGCTGTTAAAGCATGAAAAGTCTTTAAAAAAAGAAAGAAAACGATGAGCCTGAAGTAAATAAAAGGCGGTGTGTGAACAACGATGACCAAACCCCAGAAACAATAAAACATCACCCTTCCAAACAGGATCGAGCTGCTCTATGATGGCATGAATGGCTGTAGCAACAACAGAAGGCCCAGATTTCTGCATAAACTTGTGTGCAATGGGGGCTTCTACCACAGCTACATGTCCCTGAGAACAAGGTCCACGTCACATGCTATTGGGACCTGCACACCATGCTAACAGAGGAGGGTTGAACCTGCTGCACTCAGACGTCTTTTCTCAGTCCATGAAGTCTCATCCAGCAACACCTGGAGTCTGAAAACCTCTCAGCTGGGAAGGAAGACTGAGACCGACTGAGTCCAACTCTACAGGCTGTTCACTGTTAATGCCCACTCAAGGAAATATGAAATGCTCTCAGTGATGCATGTTTTTAGAGTTATGTCAAAGGTCCTCTTAATC